ACTAAAAGTTACAACTACACGGAGTTAGTTTGCACGAAGTTGCACTCAACTCACGTTGATTAGCCACTTCAGCTAGATATTTCAGCTCTCAATGATACATTGACTGCCTGATGAGCTAGAGCCATCAGCGCGAAGCTGCTTTAGACACCAAACACATATTGGACATGGAAATCAAACGAATACCCTGCTGCTCGGCAAACACAGATAGACACAGGAAAACAGAATAAACATGAAAATTGGGCTGCCATTGCACCGTCCCTGACTAATTACTTTAGAGGCAAAAGGGACTACCAAAACTGCAGGAGCAAGACAACCACAATCACTGTCCTAGCCTCCTAGTTTCTTAACATACAAACGATTCGAATTACCTGGAGGCTTTTGCAGTGGTTGCAGAGAATACCTAAGCACCTCAATGAACTTCGACTTCACTTCGTACGATTCCAACAAGGAAGGCGCAGGCCGAGGGGGACGACGCAGAGAGTGGGTAATTGCCTTATAAGTTTGTATTTGATCGTTCGATACGGTGGTGACAGAGCAGTACTTAGACGGACCCAGAGGTCGGTCAAAACGAGAGATTCGTCGTACCTGTTTTACAAAAGCAAGAAGGAATACAACGAACGACATTCAGTTGAGGCATTTGGTAGGGACCGAAGATCAACCTGCGGCAAAGAGCTGGAAAAGTTTGTTGTCTTGACAGTCCGCCGGAGCGGGAGAGGGAGGAACAAACGCTATATTCTGGGTTTCATTTTTTCTGCTTTTTTGTTCTTGGAGAATAACAGACGCTAGAAGACGGAAACAAAGAATTCTCCGTCTGTTTGGAAAAATAACGGTTTGGCCCGGTCTATGATCATCAGGTTTGGGCTGGGCCGCTAGGGTTCAATGTAGTCGACCAATGCCACATCATAGTCACGTGGACCAATAAAAAACCGCGTCACCGGTGCCGCACTTTTTACTGCGGCACTGTAGCATTGGCCTATATTAGGTTCTGCGAGTGGGCTTTGAGCTCATTAGCCCATTGAAATAAGGACCCGAGAGTCTGCTTGTGTAGGAATAGGATTGTTACTCCAAGTAACGTGGAAAGTGAGTTGGTGGCTATTTATTTGTTTTGACATTATCACAAACTAAGTGAGATTTGAATTAGTTAGGTTAAAAATAAATTAGGGTTCTTAATCTTACTAACTCTTGTTTCGTGAGTAAGATTGTTTCAAGACAGGTATAAAAGTCTCGCGCTCGACGCAACCAACACAAACAAAATTGCTGACTGGACCGTAACTTAGTGACATGTTAATTAAAATAATTAAAAAAATAGTTTACCCCTCATTCTCCCCAGAGCCTGCACCTACGCGTCCTCTCCAATTTTTCCGACTAAAAATAGAGCAACAACAACATTATCCATCGCCACCACCAATAATCATCATCGACAACAACAACCAAGGTGGCTACTTCGGTGCACTCACTTTTTTGGATGCACTCAGTGCACCCAACTCTAAAAGCGTCCATAATACATCAAATTTTGAACTTTAATTAGTACTCTCAGTATAATATGATGATATGACATATAATCATAACAAATCAATCCATTACCCTAGCCCCTTAACCTTCAATTTTGAATCCCAACCCAAAATCCCAAATTATAAACCTAAACCCTAACCCTAAATCCCTAAATCCTAAATCCTTCAAATTAAAGTAAATTTTGAATGAATTTTATCAAATTCATGTGCTTCTTGTTCATAATATCATAAGCAACAATTGATACCGTTTTGACATGAATCGCATGGTCAGAATGACAATTATGAGGCAGGTGCACTGAGTGCACTCGAAAAAGTGGGTGCACTGAATACGCCAGCCAACAACCAATAATCAATAGCCAAACCCTAATAATAATCAGCACCAGTGCACTACCATTATCCATCTTCGCCACAAATTATCATTGTCGCCAACAGTAATCTTCATCGCCACCAACAATTCAATCTGATTATCCAGTTCGCCCAACAAATCCAAATCGGAACAACGACAAGATTGAACAGCTTCGCCTAACAAAAACGCTTGGATCCGCCGACAAGGACCAGTTTAGGCCTAAAGTTCGATCCACAATGGTCTTTTCTTCTACCCAGAACTCCCATATCGACGTTTAGACTTCGACTCTAAATCGAATTCGACTCCGCGCCGTAGTCAAGAACAACTCAGATAGGGCTGATTCTTCATTTTCAGACTGCTTTGCCGCCTTCAATTCCCTTGTACGACGACGGAAACCATGTCCTGCCGCTTTCAATTACCCTCGCCTTGCCTAGCGTAGCCTTGACACTTAACTTATAATTCCCCTTCCCCTTGAAGCCGCCTCCAATCGAGAGAGCAAGAAACAATTGCTCTCAGATTTGGCCGACAATTCCAACGAGGGTCGGAGCCAGGTGAGAAAGAGGCTACTGGTGGGAAAGGGGGTTGCAATAAGACGGCGGTGGAATCGAGGATGAACTCCTAGCTAAGGTAATTTGCTACTTGTGGTGCTTTTCACCACCGTTCTCCTTCTGCCGATTTTGGGATTTATGATTTGAAGTGATGGATTAGGGATAGGAAAAGGAAAAGTTTTAATAGCAATGGGGGAGGTGTAGAAATCGAGTGTGAGAGGAGAGGAGAAGTCGAGTTCTATGACGGCAAGGCAACGACGGCGGTAGAACAGGGAGCGCGACTCTCAGATAGAAAATATGGGTCGGGGACAAGGAAGGAGGAAGATTTAGTGGGGATGGGTTGGGTATTGGCTGACTAAGCGGTCAACTTGTGTGACTCAGATTTTTGTCACTCCACTTAGCATTCCCGTTTGCCACGTCATCAGATAACTGACGGTGTTAATGGAGTCTAACAAAGACTGACGGCAAGTGACAAACGGTAACGAATCGTAAAGTTAGTGGTTAATATGGGGTGGCAAACGTGAAAGAATTATGTAATTTGAGTCACCAAATGTGTAATTTAGCCCAAAATCTACACTTTATTATCTCTATTTCACCCTATTATTAAATTGACGGTGAAGATTAGATTAAGAGTAATTTTGGAAATGAAAATGATACACCTGATTACTCTATATACTATACCCACCCCCTACTGCAACTCATCTGCCTAATCGTCGTCCCTCCTTCCTCCCTCGAAAAATTCTTAGCTCCAACCTTGGTTGGATGCAGAAGCTCCAACCATCCACATGTTAGTTTCCTATTAGTCAGTTCATTTTCCTTTTTTATATTTTAATTCTTGATTTATTTCGAGTAATTGACAACATTAAATACTAAGAAAAAAGAAAAATGAGTCCACCAATAACAAATTGACATATGGGTGCTTGGAGCTTTTGCGCCCAACCAAGGTTGGAGCTAAAAATTTTCCCTCTCCCTCAGCCGCAGGAGCATATTCGGTCAGTAACCATAGAGTCAGTAACTATGAGTAACCAGCATGACATCAACATGACGTCCACATCAGCATGATATCAACATCCTTTAACGGACGATTTCTCTCTCGTTTTAAATCCGAATTAAATTTTTTTTGAACAGATAAATCAGATTAATGGTGTTCTTCAAAATGATATCCACTTTTGATATATTTTTACAAAAAAAAATTGAGGCAATTTTTACGAGTCTATACCATATGGTATTGACTGGTTTTAAATAAAAGCATACCATATGGTATGAAACTGTATCATAGCGGTATGAACATACAAAGACTGTAGGATGGTTGAATACATGATAGTAGGAGTATACTAACTGTTATTTATGACTTTCATCATTGTATACACAAGTTACCACCCTTCATACAGGATGGTATGATATGGTATTTCTTGGTCTTGTATTTTTTTCACCCAAGAAATTTGTAGATCAAATAGATCATGATGAACTCGTTCCTTTTGTGCAAATATTTTAATAAACGACTTAAAAACGAAGTAGATACCATATGGTATGGGGTTGTAACGAGAGGTATGGAAAAAATTTCTCAAAAAATATTAAAAATTGATAGCATTTTGTAGAGCACAACGAACCCATTGCATCTGTGCAAAAAAAAAAAAAAAGACTCCGAGTTAGAACGAAGAAGATAAGAGTTTATTAAGAAAACTAGGAAAAATAAAATGACTTTAATTCACAACCCTTATATCTGTATTTTCTGGGTTCACTTAGATCTAAAGTTCCAGATTTAGTTACTCATGGGTGAGTAACCATGGTTACTCACTCTATCTTGAGCCCTCCACCCCACCTCACCCGCTGCCTACCACTATCGTCCCTCCCCAGCTCCCTCCCGCCACCCCACCCCACAATCGACGCGTCTCCCTCCGCCGCCCTCCGCCACTCCTTCCCTCCCTCCCTTCATATTATTAAATTTATATACAAAACAACGTCATTTTTATTTCCAAGAGCTAGTCGGGGTGGATAGAGGATTGAATTTTAATGCTCTGGCTACACAACCTCTACTTCCAGAATGAAACTTGAAGATTGTGAATGAGAAAGAGTATCAATCCATAGATCCACCAATCCAATCAAATTCAATTCATTTGTCACCTTTATTTTTCTGTTAATGAATGCGTTGGGTTGTAAGGTGGGGCATATTACACGGGTGAGATGGAAAAACAATTAAAACACATTCAATTTAGTGGGTGGAAAAAGAGAGGAAAAGTATGGTACCCGGAATCAAGGACGTACCCAAATCTAATGTGGACAATACTCTTTCTCTCAAACCCTTTAGAGTCGTTTGGATAGATCAAAATTGCAAAATAATATAATTTTGACATTTTTCTTATTTTACAAAATGAATTATTCAAAACGGTTCGATTTGAAGTACGTGACTCTATTCTAGACAATTAAAACTGCCTCAAGTCAATTCAAAGTTCCTTAAATTAAATTGCTTCATCCAAAATTTATCTAATCACTCACCCAAAAAAAAGTTCTTATATTCTAAATTAGCTCGTTTGAAATAGTTAATATCAAGTGTGTTATATACACTAGCTAGGCCCCAATGACTCCTACAAATAATTACTGCCAAATCAACATGAAGCAAACTCGTTTCTGGACCGTAAGGAGCGGGACCATTTCCTCTGAAATTTCCACCATCACCTCCTCTTCTCCTCCTCCTCCTCCTCCTCCTCCCCTTTTGTTTCGATTCTCCGAGCCTCGCACTACAACGATCTTCGCATCTTTCAAATGACGCTGCCAGTTATAAGGGTGATCACCGCCTCTTCTGTCGTCGGCACAGGACAGTTTCCGCGAAATCAGACCCAAAAGAGTTCTGAAGAACTCTTTCGACGTCAAGCCTCTGCGAACTATGGTCAGGAACTTGGGACGGCAGGCCCAGAACGCGCCGTCCAAAAGTACGATCTTGGCGTTGGTCAGCGGCGATTTCGTCTCCAGCTTCAAGTGCTTGATCGCTGTTGCCCTTGCAACGGCTCCCACTTTTTCCGGATAGAAAGCAACCTTGTACAAGCCAAAAGGGAGGAGTCAAACAATAACAAATCTGCATAAACTTCATCTCTAAAAGCTTTGTTACTGTTGTTGCGGTTGCATTAGAGTTCCCACTACAATTACAACCACAACAACATAAAAATAGAAAACAAAAACCTTGTTTAATTGGTAATTTTGAAGAAATTATGAAAGCGACAACCGAAATCTGAAGGAAGTGTGCAGTTACGCTTCTTCAGGCCTCGTTTAGTATTAATGTTTATATTTGAATGCGATTCACTCAAATCTTTGTGTTTGTTGAACGGATTGTCACAACACACCCTTTTGAGTGAATTCCAAAGGGGGGGTTGAGAAAAAACAATCCTTTTCTAGCAACACCTACACCATCTTTATACGTTATCTTTGCCTATTAAACCCTAGCTAGGCGTGCATCCATTAGTCATATGTGTGCACACACTGTCAGGTTTAATAGCAACTACTGTTATAAGAACCTGGTGTGCAACGATCCGAATCAAATTAGTTGAAGTCAAATTCATAAAAAAAAATATTTTAGGATCAACGTTCATACCAATAGTACATTCAACCTAGTTTAGAGAGATACATACAAGACAAAGATTAGATAAAGGATTCCCAACTATTGTGAGATTAGATAAATATTAGGGCATATATATACAACAACGACAACAGATGAAAAGACTGATTTTCACCAAAAAAGGGGGGAAAACAAGAACGCTACTTTACCTGATGGAAGCTGAGAAAGCTCATGTTAACGACTTGGAACTTCTTCAACCTGGCGACGAAACTCTCGACCCCAACAAACATTTGGTGCGGATTGTAAGCCGCAGGATCCAACTGCCTGAAATCCACCTCCCACTCACAACTCACCGCGTTGCGAATTTGGCATTTCCTGAACCTGTCAGGAAACCGATCCTGACAGCAGAGCACGAACTTCGTCAGACTGCAGGGACCACCAGCACCAGCTCCACCAGCAGCATCAACCTGTATCTCCTCCAACTCCGACTCCGCCCCAACGACCAGCTTGAATTCCTCGAGCTGCGGCGGGCTCGAGAACCTCACCTTCCGGTCGGGCCCACCGTGCAGGATCAGGGACCTGAGAGACGGCAGCTTGGAGATCACCTCGCTGAAATGTGCTGCAATGCCTCCGAATTCGAGGAATCTGAGCTGGGGAGCCGCGATTAACCCGATCGTGGATCCCCAGTTCAGCCCCTTGAGATGCAGAGTCTCGAGCAGGGGAGCCGAGATCTCGATTTCCTTAGAACCGACCGGATTCACAATTCTGAGCGTCTTCAGGTTGTTGGAAATCTGGATTTTCCTCACCCCTGAAAGTGCGTCGAGTTCTAGGGTTTCGAGGAGGCGAGAGCTGGCGATTAAATCGACGAATAGCTGGTCGTCAATCGACACGCATTCCAGCCGGAGGGATCTGAGGGAGTTCACAGAACAGGGGCGGAAGCGGCCGGCGGGATGAAAGATCCTGACGCCGGTGAATTTGATCGATTCGGGGCCCGGTTTGCTGAGCCCTCGGACGGTTAAGGTGAAGGGGTGTTGGATTGTGTTGTCGGCGCACTCAAACTTGACGGCGAACTCTTGGACTTTCCTCTGCCACGCCAGATCGAGCAGCCATTGGAGAACAGGGGAGCGGCTGCCGACGCTGTGGTCGAGTCTAACCGAGACCTTGAGGGTTTCGATCCGGAAGAATTCCTTGTGTTGGGAGAACTTATTGATCGCGGTGGCGCAGAAATTCTCGAGGTACTCGTTTGCCCGGATGGAGCTGTTCTTCGTCTGCCAGTCGGCGTCGAACTCCACGACTGGGTACGAGCGCCAGAGGTTTCGCCAGCGGCTGGAGATTGCGGTGGTCTGCGCCGATTGCCGGTGGGATTCTAAGCGGCGGAGGATGCAGTGGAGGACTTCGTCCGGCAAAGCTGAGATTCGGTCCTCGCAGGGGACGGCGGCGGGGGAGGTTGTTCGCTTTCGCCTCTTCTTCATCGTCATGGATTGCTGGTGGAGATCAGCGCGGCGATGGAATTACTCTGAGTTACGACAGTCAATTGTGTATTAGGGTTTCTTTTACTCAACATATAGTATTAGTATCTAGATAGTGTTCACATGTTCGAAAAGATCTAACAAATAAACAATAGTATCTAGCGTCTGTCAACTATACGCCAAAATCTTGTAACTATTATTATTATACATGGTACTAGTCCATTAGCTGATTGGCTTGTTTAGTTTCACGGCGAATTTTCAAAAAAATGCATTGGTCAATTGCCATTGTTTCAAATTTCTCAGTATAAAAAAAAAAAAAAATCGATGTTAAACAATGTAAGTCACTCCGTGGTCTGCCTAGAGAAATATATATGACTACTAAAGATGACACAAATGATTATTTAGATGCTTGATAATTAATTTGCTTTTCATACTAATAGGTCAAGGGGTAGGAAGACACCCCCTCCATGTGTCCCCTGTAGATAGTGTAATATCTTATGAACAGTGTCGAGGTGGGTAGTACGAAGAGCAGACATGAATTGATTGACAACCTGAACGGTATAAGCGATATCTGGTCGTGCCGAAGTCCAATAAATCAAGCTACCAACAATGTTGTGATACTGTTCGCCACCATCAGGCAATAGATACTTTGTTTCCCTTCCCAACTTCATATTAAGCTCCATTGGTGTAGTAACTAGAACACAATCAAAATAACGAGCCATGTCTATAATATCATCAACATACTTTTGTTGAGTAAGAAGAATACCAGCTCGAGAACAATGTACCTCTTATCGAATGTACTACAAATCCAAATTTACCTACTTCGAGTGATCGTATCCCCTAGGGCCTCTCAAACTACTTACTCAGGTGGTGAGGGATGAGTTCTACAGTGGTTTTAAAAAGAGAATGTGGGTGTGAGGTGCCTCCGAGGGTTGAAGCTCCCATTGGTTTTACAAAACTAAAAGGAAAACAATATAGAAAATGCACTCTAATAATATGGGTGAGTGGAGGACGTAGGAGGCTGAGGTGTTGCATATGCAAACTCCCCTATAGTTCTTTTAAATCTGCTACCATTATGTTTACACATAGTTGTGTTTGTGAGAAACCACAATGGATGTCTCCTCTTACTATTCTCCTATTTTGCCACTTCCCTCTAACGATACTAATCATGGGTCCAAGCTTTAGCGAGACATGTGGGAGAGTCCACATATGGATTCCATATGTCAAGGTATGCAATAAGGTTTCTTCCAAATATGTTTCGTATTCAAGGCACAGGTATGCATAAACTTCATTCTTGACAAATCCACTCATGCATAGGCATCTCGATACAATAAGCATTTTAAGGTGAATTCATAGAAACACCCCTACATACAACCAAGAATCAACAATTGATCTTGGATACATATGAGCAGTTTGAATCTTGTTGGGTATATTCCTACCATAGGATATGGCATTTACCTTATTTAGTAGGCAAGGATGGTGACCCTATGGATATCTCCCTTGATGAAGTCGACCCAGTTTGATTGATTGATCATCAATCGTGAGGGACTACCGTGTACAGTCTCATCCACCTACAAAGTCGGGTTTGAGAATATAACTTTTAAAGTTAGTCCTCGTCTTATGCATGCAATCACGTCAACAATAAACCAAGCAAGATAATCGAACATCTACTTGGATAGTCGTCGAGTGGAAAATGATGTGTGAATGGACATGAAACTATAGGGAGTAGGGAAGAGGGGGAAGAGAAAAATGGAGTGTACATACTTGCATGGACTTGTCTGTATCCCGAGAAACCGTGGCTATCAATAGAAAGACTATGTGATTATCTTCACATACCAAGATGTTGCTCTGGCTAAGACAATCAAAGAAGTGTTAAAAACCACAATGTATCATTTATGTTTATGGCACCTCCACATCTGGGGAGATGTTAATGGAGATTCAATTTCCAAACATTGTGAAATAAGTGTTGTTCAATTTGTGAGTCATTTATATGGAATTTCAAGAAGTGAAATTCGATCATAGTTGGCTTAATGACATATATGGAATTTGGTTAAAATGGAGTATTATGTTTGGTAATAATTTTTTATCAATTGGTATAAATTCATTTAATTTGAAAGAAGTGAAATCACAAATAATTTTTTAAATAAAATTTCAAAAAGAAAATATCTATGTCATAAACCAATTTGTCTCAATAACTCGAGTTATTATGAGAGGTACATGTATGAATCCTAAATACTTCCTTACCCCCTCGAATGAAATCTAACTCATTGACTTGAAGTTTCCACGTGCCCATTATACCATGTGACTTAAATCAACTATTAATATTGTGGGTCATGAAAGCTTAAACATGTGACCTCATGATTAAATCAAATATAATAACATGACACAAACCAACTCGTCTTAATAACTTGAGTTGTTCAGAGATCTATTTATGTATCTTAACCACTCCCTTCCAATATCATACTGACTTTACTATTTAGTTTGATAATTTACTCAAATACATGCGATCAAGGGAGCTATATGAAGACTTCTAGTAACAAGATACTCCAAAAGTGTTGGTTAAGTGTGGTTAGGGGCGGGCCCAACCCAAAAAATTATGGATCTCTAAACATCTAAAATTACTAGCATCGGGCCCGCCCTGTTGGGCGGGTAATCTACGCACAATTGTATTATTTGATAAAAATTGAAATATAAACCCAATTGATAATAGTACATTATTTTGGTAACTTTTGTAATAAAAAATCGTGTTTGTACAAAAGTTTAGCCCAAACAAATGTGTCTATTAATACCTATGAAAGTTTTGTCTAAAAATTATTGAATGGAAGTGTTTATTGGAGAAGCTGAAATTAAACTATCCATGCGGATAGAGCAACTTAATGTATATTATGAAGATGAATTAAAAGAATTTATTTATAATTTTACAAATAATAATAATATTATTATATGAGATGAATGTAAAAAAATGTGCTGAAAAAATGTTTATGAGATGAACGTAAAAAAAAAAAGTAATAGGAAATAAATATTTGGCCACCAATCCAACAGTCGGATTGATTTCCATCCCACAAAAGAATGGGCGAATACTGGGCCACCAGATTGAATGACAGGGAAGTGGAACCAAAGTCGAAGCCTGTATCCGTCCTTCACCAACAATCAATCGACTTCCTTCTAGTTTCTAATAGTATCTCAAATTCTGAATAGTTGCGCTTCATCTTCCTCGGGGGTTCTCCAACGATTCCTTCTAATCCTATATCTTCATCCTCACCAACCTGAGAATCCCTAGTACCATGCCCGGCCTGTTGGCTGGGGAGTTTGATTATTATGTATGTTGTATGTGTTGTAACCACCTATAATGTGTGTAAATAGTAAAAATTATTATGCATTTTTTATATGTTGTTACCACTTATAATGCGTGTAAATAGCAAATATATGGATTGCGATATACATGTTTACAAATAAAGCATTTAGAATTGATCTATGATATAGTCCAACATATCAGTGAAAATGTTTTCCAATATTTATCATATTTGTTAATCACGACACAGGTTATAGATATGAAATTGCATGATTTGAAAGGACACGTTGCAGATTGATAGCCAAAAACGAATGACCTAAATTGCTAGCCCCAAATTTAACATTTTGTCTCGTAAGTTCCAAATTCACTTAATAAGCACAAAAGAGATTACTGACATAAATCAAGTACTTCAATAAATTGAAAGCTAAATATCATCAAGATCTTATGATTTCACGATAACCAAAAGAGATATATTTGAAATCTCGCACCAAGAGAAAAGTTTGATAACATATTCAACAAATTGTTGCAATCCTTCCCACACAGGTAACAGAGTTAGACTCCTCCAAGTAACAAAGATTCATATGCAATTTTAATTTTTACGTTCCTAACACCCAATATTCAATGTAAACTATGATATAATTAGCTTATAGAGGTGGCGTGTACTCCCCCACCGGCGATGCCTTCCTTGCCGCCTTCCTCTCATTCCTCGAGGGCTTTTTCTCTCCCTTCTTCGGGTTGGTATCTTCCTTCTCCTTCACTTCTTCAGTGGCGACTTCCGAAATCACCTTCACACTCTCACCCCAACATGGTTGTTGGGGTTCACCACTGTTTGGGAAGGTAGGGCTCCCTTGGGTCTCTCTGTGAGGATGCCGACAAGGTTGTTGATTTGCACCTCCAAGCTTTGGAGGTTTGCTTGTTGGCTTCGGAGACCCGCCTCAACCAAGATAAACTTGGTAGTCGACACATCCATAAATTGCTCTATCTTCTCGAACTTTTGAGCACTTGTACTAACAAAGTTGTTCACTAGGTCTTCAAGCTTAGATAGCTTTTCGGGTTGTTGTTGTTGTTGTTGTTGAAACCCTATGCCACCTTGTGCTTGGTACGGTTGTTGGAAGCTTGAGCCTTGGACTTGGGGCCTTTGTTGGATGAAGGTCGGCTGAGGTTGAAAATTCTCTTGGGGCCTTGAAAACTCGGGGGCCTTGGATTTGTCGGCGATGCCCAAGCAAAGTTGGGGTGGTTCCTCCATCCGGGGTTATAAGTATCGCTATAAGGGTTGTTGACCATAGCATTTGCCACGAAGTTGACTTGTTCCTCTGGAGCGGTTGCCTCCTTCATTGCTTGACACTCCGCCATCTCATGGCCAGTGCTCGAGCACCAGTCGCACGGCATCACCAGCCTTTTTCCTTGCCTCGTATCTTCAAGCATAACCTCTATCAACTTATCCAACTTCGCCTCAAGCGGAGCACTCGCTCCCACGCTTCTCACTCCCCTATCATTGATTCTTCTTCCACTTCTAGTCAACCCCCAATCGTATCCCCTAAGGGCCATGTCTTCAAGTATCTCGGTTATTTAGGTTGGAGCCATATTCATCAATTTCCCTTGACACAAGGAGTCAATGAAAATTTTATCTTCTTGCATTAGGCCTCCGTAGAAGGTTTCGATCCTAAACTGTTCTTCAAACCCATGGTGAGGGCACTAAAGAAAATAGTCGGAGTAC